AACAAGTAAGGAGGGTTTCCATCCTTCCAAAGTACATTGAAAGGAGCCAGCGGGAACTCTGTTCTCTTCCTTTCACAACTGCTACTGGCGTAGGTAGTCCCCGGGGTATAAAGTTAGATCACACATTCTCTGCTACACTTAGAATAAATGTGAATACTTAGCTCTAAATCTTCAAGGAACCAACCAAATCTTCATGCTGAGCAGCAAGACTCCATAAAAATAAAAAGCTTCTTTGAAGAAAAGCATAACTTAAGGAAATGTCAGGCTGGGAAAAGTATCTGCAAATATGAAAGAAAGGTTAAAACTATTTTATATAAATCAATAAAGGAATGTTTAAAAAATTGGCAAAGGATCTGGACAATTCACAGCAAGGAATATGATTTTTTAAAGCAAATTTATCAAACATTTCCAATATGTACAAATTAAAATTATGTGCACCTGGTAGAAATGCTTCTTTAAGATGATAGCAAACAGTGAATATCAGGACAGTGGAAGACCTGGCTGAAGAGGCTGAGAAGGAACAGTATGAAACAAGAAAGAGAAGTCGAGATATTCTGATGTGTACGTGGTTCAGGGAGTGAGTAGTTAGCACAGCCACAGGGAGGTCAAATAAGATCGAAAGCTAAAAATTACTGGATTTGGTCACTATAGGGTCATTAGTAATACTTAGAGTGTCTTACTCCTTGCTTACTCTTCTAATTACTCCTTGCTTCCTCTTCTACTTTCTTGAATCTGCACTAGTATGTCGTTAAAGTACTGTCTAGTTCAATTTTCACTTTACCTGTCTCTTACTTGATCTGATGTTACTGATCACTACATTCCTCCTGACCTCTTTAAAAAACTACTGATTTTCTACTTCAGACCCCACCCATCTTTCTCTGCCATCCCTTCTACACACACTGCATTTCTTTTACTACACCCATTGCTTTAATTAATATATATACACATACATACATATACATATATGTATATATGTGTATATATGTATACATGTGTGTATATATACACATACACATACATATATACATATATGTATATTATATATACATATGCATACATGTGTATATATGTGTGTATGTATATATGTATACATATATGTGTGTGTATACACACACACACACACACACACCCCACACACACACACTCTTTTCTTTCCTGAGCTTTAGAGATGTCTAGCATCCTGATGGACATCTTTACTTGGATGCCTGCGATACCTCCAAATTTGGTATTCCAAGGCTGAATCTGAATTCTCACCTGTATTCTTCCCTCTGATCCCTTTTTCCTAAATACCATACCTTGTATAACAGACCACCAAGTTGTCAAGCCATTGAAATGGGCATTGTCCTCCACTCGTTATTTCTTCATTTACCAATCAGTTATTGTTGTCATCTCCTAATTAGATCCTTCAGATCTCTCTCTCCTGCATCCAGGCCACTTGCCATTTCTCACCTAGGTTATAGAGTTATCCTCCAGGCTAGTCTCCCTATCTCAATCTTTCCTTGTCTCTGGTATTTCCCACACTGGACCTAGATCCACCACCTCATGTTAAATTCTTTGCTTGCCACTTCAGCTTCATCTCTATGCTCTTTGTCTATAGATTCAGATCAAATTGATTTTCTTTTCAGTTCTTAAACATGGCATGCCTTCTCTCTCTGTACCTTCACATATGCTTATGGTCCTGCCTGTTCCTTATTGGTAAAATTATTCTCTATCTTCAGGAAACTTCTATAATCCTGTGAGTCCAAGTTGTGTGGACCTCCTCCGCAGTCTCCACTCTACCTTTCTACACCATAACCTTTTCTGCATTTTCTGCTCATTTCTCCTTTTTGTCTGCAAATCAATGTGTTCCTTTAAATTTTTAGCTTTAAGAAGGTAAGGACCATGGCTTTTTGATGCACCATTACATTTCTATCTTCTGGAACAAGTGCCTAGAAGAGTGTGAACATCATGGCCAGTCAGTGTTTGTTAAATGAAATGAATGCTCTTCAAAGTATTTTCACATCCATTATCTCAGTGGGGGTAAAGTTGAACAATCTGGAGAGGATTTTAGCGAAACGTGAGCTCTCAGTGGATTAGAAGATTAAATTATTTGAGTTGTTTTGCAGGAGTAGGAGGAAGCAGAAGTTAGAGTCAGGAAAGCTGGTTAAGAGAGTAGAAGCATTTAAATTCCACCTCAAAGAACAAAAAGGAAGAGATTTTTAAAAACTAGGTCACACCACTTTTAATTTTATTATTTTTTTAATAAGTGAAAACTGTAAGGCATGAGAGTGTTTTAATAGTTAAAGCTGTCACATTGTCTACCTTATAGGTTTTTTTTTCCTCCACCTAGAAGAACTGTAGGTAATATTTTAAATTTTCCTATATAGTTTATTCAGTAAATTTGTTTTATTTGAGGAGATGCTTACTGAAATAATTAATTATAACTTTTCTTTCCCTCCCACCAAAGAAAAAGAGATAGAATGTATTTTTAAAAATTAATAGGTTTTTAAAGCCAGGATAAAGTTAACACCAAAAATAAAGGAATGGACAATCAAGAGGAAATCCAGGCTAAGAAAACTTACATACAATAAACTACTTTGAGGACAAAATTAACTCTAAACTATCTTGAAGTCAAGCAGAAGGCATAATGTATAAGATAACTCCGCTTGATATCTTTTAGCCTCTTCTCAAACATGAGCTTTCAAAAGCTGGAGTGCTGGCAATTAACAATAGATTGTGTAATGAGGCACTTGAATTGCAAGTGGAATTGGATGCTAACTGTGCTGGTTGCAAAACAAATGCTCAGTTTGGAAACCCTTGAAGAGATCAGCCTGTGTTCTGTCTCAGATGTGACTTTCTTATTTATTATTTCTTTTTTTTTTCTTTTCTCTTGTGAGAGGTTTTTGCTATAGGGTGTGTGCACTCACTAGAAAGAAAGAGAGAGACAGAAAGCAAGAAATCAGCCCCCCCCAGGGGGGGATGGCCACACCACAATCCCTTCTCCATCATTCTCTCAGGATCTTGGGCATGCACGCACATGCACCTGTTGTGAGTTTAAGCCTCTGGGTCCGGGACTTGAACATGGGTTGACTATATTGGAGTCTAGCGACATAGCCATTATGCCATCTACTGGGCCCACAGATGATGACTTTCTAAATTCTGCATGGAAAGGTTCATTGCAGAATATTTTTTAAAAAGGAAGGTCAAGACTTTTTCATCAAAAAACAGCCTCAAATCCACTTGACTAGTTTAAAATATATTTATTTGGAGCCCCTAATAAAAGAGAGATGCTTGGTTTAGAGCATCATATGGAGAGGATGCCTTGGTCATCTGCTCCAGCAATAAAAGAATATTAATGTATATTTAGAGCATGATTAGCTTTGACCAGCCAGCATTATATTCTACAGTTCTTATCTGATAGAAAAGTTAGCTCAAAGATGTATCCCCAATAAATACATAAACTGACTCTGAGTGGTGGTGGTTTGAACTTTCTGACCGTAATTAATAGGTGTATAGGACGTTTGATGGTTTCTGAATGTGAGAATGACATGACTAACTTTTGTGAGAAAGTGTGCCGTCTTGTTATAGAAGAAGGCACACAGAAGTCTCATCTGCATGTGGCAGCACTCCTGGTTTTAAGGTTGAGTAGCAGTTGTAGTGCAGTTCATGTGATTTAGAAACAGTATTTGCTCTGATTCACTAAGTTTTAGAGAAACACTTAGGCCTGCAGGGAGTACTGAGACCATGTGGCTTGACACCTGGATGGCCTCCATGGTAGAGTTGAGACTGCAAATACATTAATAAAGGTTACCAGAGCTTGAGTTAGTTGTCCATTGTTCTGTGTTTGGTAGAATGTAATGTCAACATCACAGAAAGTGTAATCATTCCTCAGAGATCAGGAGATTCTGACCACATACCTGGTAGAAAGCAAGCTAGCTCTCGCCCTGTCTGCAGAGGGCTTTGAGGAGAAAGCCAGCACACCGAACATCTGGAATTTGGGAGAGGCAAAGATGGTCTGATGTATCTCCTGGGGAGACTAAGGAAAAAAAATAACACAAAAACCGAACAAACAAAGTACCTAAGAGGTGACAAGGGAATGCCTTTTGCTCATTCTGAAAGCAGGATAAGAATCTCCCCCATGCCTACGAGCACTGCCCAGCTCCTCTTTGAGCTGTTTGCGGTTGTTCTTTATGTTGTGGTTTCTGTGCAGTTACCTCAGGGGTTCCTCTGCGTTACCCGGATGAGTCATGTGCATGTGCTGCCTGGTGTGGGATGTTTGGTTCCGAGACTAACACACAGGAAGAACCTGTGCTTGATACTGTAGACAGCATGGCATTGTCCCTGGATCTGTTCTCTTTGCCTTTTCACTCCCTCGTTCACATATAGAATGAGGGAGAACATGGGAGTTTTAACATTTGCAATAAAGAAGTCTGCCTGATGACTCAGTTTTCCCTGCACCAGAGCTGGTTTTTCTTTTCATTTCTTTCCATGCACCAGATGCGTCTTCACAGCTGGGAGCGCGGCTGTTGGGGCAGCTGTGTGAACCTCTCAGCAGGGCCACGTGCCATTTGTGGAAATAAAGAGAGGGGCAGATAGGGGGACAGGAGTGAGGGTGTATGCTCTAATCATAGAGAACCACAGGAAAATCTAGGCAACTTTGTACCACCTTATCTCTCTCCGCCAATTAAATTTTAATTGTTCTTAATCTTTTTTTTTTTTTCAAAACAAATTTTAGAATCAGATATCTCATGAATTATTTACCAATGCAAGTAAAATATAGGATTTAAGTGTAGGATTTAAGCATGATGATCTTAATCTCTCTTTTTTTTTTTTTTCAAAACAAATCTTAGATATCTCATGAATTATTTACCAATGCAAGTAAAATATAGGATTTAAGTGTAGGATTTAAGCATGATGAAATGTGCTTTTCTCCTCAAATTTCCCCCTGGATTAAAACAAGGTTAATCTCGGCACCATGGTGGTGGAACTAAAAGATGAAAGTCCTTCCTGTATTCCTACAGAGTACAGTACAATCCACAGCCCGTCAACACCTATTAAAGACTCAGAAACTGATCGATTGCGTCGCGGTTCAGATGGGAAATCACGTGGACGGGGCCGAAGAAACAATAATCCTTCACCTCCCCCCGATTCTGATCTTGAGGTATGTTATAGAAATATTATGTCATGGAAACTGAATATGCCGAAAAAACTCTGGGCTCACCCTGAAGCCTAGTCATTAAGGGAGCCCGATCCCATATGGCTGATCATGTAGTTCGAATCTAGGACCTGATAGCTTGAAAAACATATATTTTTCAAAACTGCATGTGTACGTGCCTGTCCAAAATCTCAACAGGATGGAGAAATGCAAGAGAAGGGATTGCAATGTGACCATGCCCTATTGGGGAGTGTTTTCTGCCTTTCCCTCTCTGCCTGTCTCTCTCTGGTGAGTACACACGCACTCTGGCAATTAAAAATAAATAAATAAACAGGTAAATAGAGTGAATTTCAATTTTACTTTTGCACTAAAATAAACTCATACATTTAATTCCATTTTGCCACAAAATGTTTTAAAGTCCCCTGATGTTAACTATAGGCTAAGCAATTATTTACTTCTGTTTTTGTTTCTCCTATTAATTACACATGTTAAAACATCTGTTTACCTCCCTGCATTACAGGAGGTCTTCAAAAAGATCATGGAAGATACATATTATGAGAAAATATGCATGGATTTCAAAGATTTTTGCACCAAAATAACTCATACTTGTAATTCCATGTTTTCATGCACTTTTTGAAGTCTCTTCATAAATCTATATTATTTCTTTATATAGTTTATTTCCACTATGCAGAAAGGTAATACAGAAAATTCTGTAATTCTTAAACAAAATTCTGTCATTTCCATTTCAATTACGTAAGTGTCATACTGAAAATGCTTAGTAAAATCCACTTTGAAATTAAGACACACTTGGGTATGTCGAGCCAGGAAAATCTGGAATGTTCTAAACTGAAAAGGTAATCACCTTATGAGACATGTTTGGTGGGAATTCAAAAGCGGGAGGGATTAAGTAAGAACTTAGGGGAGGTAGATTGCAGAGTCTCAAATCCACTGCAGTTAAGTTTCTGCTTTTTGCCAAGGTGAAATTTGATGGTGGAAAACATGATTATTTTGGCTGAAAAGATGAAGTTTTTCCAACAGAATCTATGTGTATGATTATGTACTGGTGTGAGAAAGGGGAAGAAAAGCAAGCTTGGAAGGCAATTTGTGGTATCTCAAAGACTTTTTTGAAATGAGGTCTTCAAATCCAATTCTAAATACCCAAACAGTGTGTCTAAGAGCTTGAGTGATATATCTACTTAAATTGTTTGTTTCTATAACTGAGACTTAGAAAACCTGGTAGGAATGATATACCTTGGTCTATCCCTTTGATAACTACCCAGCGGATAACATGGGAAATAAATTATGTGAAGTTTTAATTTTTATATGCAACTTTTAATACTGGATTGTTAGAAGTCATGATGTGTTTTTTCTATTTTCTATACAAAAATACATCATGACTTTTCCAACGATCCAAAAACTGACTCAACAAGAGTGACATGTAAGATTAGTTCTTTTTAATACTTCCTAATGAACAGAGATCATAGATAAGGAAAAGATAAATGATCTTTAATTGATTGCCCCTTTCTATCTTGAAAATTCTAAACAGGCTAGTTATAACTCAATTTCCATTTCTTCAGAACTAAGCCTGGATTTTACCACAGAAATAGAAAGGACGTAGGTTATTATCTCATTTATATATATATAATATATATATATTCATATAATATACGAATAATATATATATGAATAATATATATGAATAATACACATATGAATATCTGTGTGTACACATATATACACACATATATATTTATATGTATATAGATGTGGCTAAGATAATTATTCTCTTGTGCCTCATCTGTGGCTCTGTCTGTAAAAGCTGGGAGATGCTCTTTGTGTTTTTTTTTTAAAGTAAATTTAGACTTTTTATCTCTCTCCCATTTCAAGACTACTTTTTCATCTTAAAGTTAATTGAAAAATAGTTTTCTCAAGCAAGGAAAAGACACATTGATTTGGTTCTTCCTTTGTAGAGAGTATTCATCTGGGACTTGGACGAGACAATCATTGTTTTCCATTCCTTGCTTACTGGGTCCTATGCCAACAGATACGGGAGGGTGAGTACCAAGAGGCATCCATTTTTAATTTATTTGGAATGAACATGCCTAGAATTTCTTTTGTCTAAATGAATAGAATTTAACTTTAATAAATTTAAAATATAAAAAGGAAAATAACTGTCTTGATATAGTGAAATATACATATAAGGTAAAAGACATTCAAATTAACAAAAGAGATTTTTAGGTCCTTAAAAATGAGACAGACTTTATTTGGTTGAATTCATATACTACAGAATGAATAAAAGTGGTGAGGTGCTATTCTAGAATGAAATATAACATATATAGGTGGCAAAACATTCTTTTTAAAGTTTATTTCCTGAAAGTGAGAGGAATAGTAATCCTTGATACTGTCTCACTACTCAGCAATAGCCCCTTCCCCTTCTGCCCCTAGCACTGGGTATGCTCAGCTCAAACTAGGATCACACCCAGGGCTCACTCACATGGCTCCAGCATTGTGCAGTGGCACCCTACCACCTGCACCGCCATAACTGGGCTCGAAAGACCTTTTTAAATTTGTTTTACATGCCCTGTTATTTTTACTCATGAAACATTCAATGGAGCAACTATCCACTTGCTATTGTCTTCAGTGATTAGCAGTATTGGTATTTTATTGTCAAAGCACTTACTATGACTGTCTTTATAAGTCTTTTTGCTACTGGGGCTCCATTAGTGGGATGTAGTATTGGGCCTCTGCATGGCAATGGCGCAGTCCATGTGGGTTAGAATTGTTTTTAGTACTTATCTTGGTTGTAAGGAAAGAATATCACACATCATCTATCATGAGAATTTCAGTTTCAATTTTTCTGCATTTAGTTTTCTCAAAAGCTTGGAAGCTCTTCTTGGTATATTATATGGTAGTTTCTTAAGTCATTCCCATGCAGAAATCATGTTATTTAAAGTGGCTATCAGTAATTTCTGAAATTATCCTAAAAATATGGTATTTCTCATTAAAAAAAAAAGTTTTTCAAAGAAATAATATTACAAACCTTGAAGCTAGTGGTTTGGAGACTTAGAAACCATTCTTATATCATGGTAACTCTATGGGCTTATCACCACTAAATGTTAAAATTGATACGTAGTGCCAGCCCTGTCTATAGCCCTGAGGTGCTGTATGGAGGAAGCCAACCTCACATGGCCAGCTGGGGTTGACATCATGGCCCCATTGGCATCACACAGAGTATGTATGCCCAGGATCCTAAGAGATTGGAGAAAAAAAAAAGATTGCAGCATGAGCAGACCCTGCTCGGGGCACTTCCCTCACCTGCCCCCGTCTCTCAATCTCTTTCTCTTCTGCATGTGCCATTTTTCATTCAAAACAAAATTGATACCCAGGAAATGTGCATGTCCTCATTTTAGATTTAACCACATATGCATTCTTTCAATAAATGCTTATTTAAATAAATATGCATTGTCTGCTGTGAACATACAGTCTGGAGGTGAAAGTGGGGGGATTATCACTTCAGCTTCTCAGTCTAGCTGTCTTTTCCATAGCCCTAAAGACACATCTAATCAGAAATAGGTTTGGAGAAAACACACATTTGTAAGAACAAGAATATCGTACCATTTGAATTTCTTTTCTGAGTTATCTGTTAAGCATCTTATTGTTAAGCAGGTTCTCTATAAGAAGATAATTGAAAAAAATGTATACACTCAGACAGTCAAAAGATGTATTGTGTGCCTAGCACATAGCAAGAATTTAGTAAATATCAGTTGTGGCTTTTTATGGGGGAGGGACTATTTTTTTCCTTTAATCAATATTATTACTATCTCTATTTCTATAAAAACTGCTACTTAAAAACAAATTAAAGTTTAATATATGCAATATTACCATGTGGTTAGTAGACAGAAGTTAAGACCTTCTTAACTGAGGCATGATAATGTCCCTATGACTAATTCCAAAGGAAGAAAGCTAGTTCCTGGAACTCACTCACAAGTGTTGATAAGAGTAGGTACTTAGAAAACCAACACTTGAAAACCATCCAGAAAGTCTTAGGTCTTTACAAGCTCTCATTAAGCACCAAATTTGTGCAAAGATTGTTGTCTCTAACAGTATGCTATGAGTCATTGAAAGAAGCCAGCTTAAAGTGAGATAATGGACATCCCCTGACCTACTGACCTCATGTCACTCTTCGGCCATAAAGTATTTGTTTACATGAATTCGTTCCTAACCTAGAACCTCTTGGTTTATTACACTTTTTCATTCAGATATTTGGCAGTCTTTAAATGAAACACTCTAAATAATAATTATTAATTATATGAGTTTAATTTTTAGTGTCAACATTAATATTTCAAGGTTTCATCAAAGGGTAGTTCGTTAGTTTTCTTCTACTAGAGTAAGTGATTAAAAGTTTTATCTCATGATTTCCAAAAGCCAAATTTATGTATTCTTTAAAGTATGAGTTATGTAAATTATTTAAATGCAAACTTTACTCTTTATTGATAAGGTAGATGAGACTAAGAGAGAACTTCAGAAAGCCAATTATTTGAGGAAGATCTCCCTAAGTGTGACTTTGGGTCTGAAGTCTGAATGATCTGAAGGCATCGTGTGACAATCAAGAGAAAGGATGTTCTTTTTTGTTTGCTTATAAGCCAGAGAGTATGTGCTCTGGCTAGGGAGAGACAGAAAGAGGAGAGAAATAAAACACCTCCCAGTGGAATGTAAACATGCCACAATCTCTGCTCCTTCATTTCACCACCCTATTGGGATTTGAGGCATGCACATACATATGCCCAGCCTATTTGTAAAGCTGCTGGGGCTGAGATTTGAACTGTGTAGTTGGCCGTGTCAGATCTAGTTCTCTTAACTACTAGGCTATGGGACCAACCTCAGGAGGAAGAATGTTCTAACCAGAGAAAACAGCAAGTGTAAAAGCAGGGAAAGATTTGTTGGGGAGGGACAGACACCAGTGTGACCAAACTTAGTAATGGAGATAGAGAGTCAGCAGAGACACAGGCAGAGATGAGGCAGGTTCCAAGGGCTACCAGTCATAGTCTGTTGCCTCTGGGCAGGAGCCATAGAATGTCTTTGGAGAACATCAAGGAGAGGTAAGAAGATCTGATTTACACTTTTGGGTAACTTCAGCTGTGTGTGGAGAACTAATGGTCGGGGGAAGAAATGCACAGTCCAGATAGGAGGTTTTAGTAGTGGTCTGATGCATTCTTGGACCAAATGGAAAGAAGTGATTGGATTCTGGATTGTGTTGCAAGTTAGAGAATAGGATATAGAAATGATTTGGATTGGGGTGGTGGTTATTAATTGAAAGGAGTGTAAGATTCTTAGATTTTTGTCCTGCACGAGTAGGTGAATTGTTGTGTATTTATTAAGTTGGGAAAGGGCTAATTTAGAAGGAGAATAGAAAGTTTGCAATTGAATAACTCTGAGAAGCCTAAAGACACTGATTTGGACCAGGCAAGAAATCAGTTAGAAAGTAAGCCCAGGACACCAAGCGGGCTGGTCAGGGCTGAGACATCAGGTTTAGAGCCAGCAATGCACAGGTTAGGGTCAGAAGTTCTTTAGATGCTATTAGCTTGATTTCTTTCAGGCACATTCTGAGCAACTTTGTGCTGGACACTGTGGTCATCCTGTGGTCTCATTGCCCAGTGGCAACCCTTCCCCAAAGAGTTTTAAAGATATTGAATCATAGCCAGAAGCCTGCAAGACAGCGCATTTAATGTCCTCTTCATTAGAAAAGTTTATAGTTGACCAGAATTTGGCCTCAGATCTGATCATCAAGCCTTGTAAAAATGTGTGGTTCAGTAAGGATTCTTCCAAACAATTCGAAAAACCAAACTGGTCAAAATATCTTGCATCCCTTTTGTTCCCCCAGAAGAATGAGGGGGGAAGTCTTAAAGCAGTTCAGTGCAAGACTTCTTTTTTGGAGCATGGATTTAATGGTGATCCTGTGCATTGTCCAGGGGAGCATGTGGCTGGGCCTCACTTTCTGTGCATATAAAGGAATGAATGCCTGACAATGTGATAGCTGTTCTGTCTCCATGGGAACCAGATACTTGAGAAGTAGCTTAGTCACAGTAGCTTAGGCAACTCAGTGAGGAGGCCATTCAGTAAGGGGATACAGGATCTGGTTGATATAATGCAAAATTAGGGCATGTTACAGCAATATGTAAAAAAAAAAAAAAGTCTGAGAATGTCCCACCTTCGATGTAATCCTAGCTGTGGGAAGAAGGCATGTTGGGTGTTATAAGGAAATGTTGTTTCATAACAAAGGTGCTAGGAACAAAAAGAATGTGCTGGGTAGGTACGACCTTGGCTAGGGAAGAGGAAAGAAGCAGCATGTTTTGAGAAAGAGGAAGTTAAGACAGCATAATGCTTAGCATTTCTAGTCGTAGGCATTTTAAATTCATTTGTTAAAAAGTTTGCTACAGAGCATGCGTGCTCACCAGAGAGAAACAGGGACAGAGTGAGACAGCACCCCCCTAGGGAGAATGACCACACCACAGTCCCTTCTCCATTCTCCTCGTGGGACTCTGGGCACACGCACACCCATAACCTGTGTGCATTTTTCAAGCCACAGGGTCTGGAACTCAAACCAGTCGGTCATGTAGGATCCAGCTGCCTTAACCACCATGTCACCTGGCTGACACTTAAGTTCAATTTTTAATTTAGTTTAAAATTCCCATGGATTGGGCAGTGTTACAGCAGAAAAATGAGGTGCTCTATGAGGCTGACATGGATTTGCTTCTGGAGACCTCCCTGAATACACTGAGTACATACATGTCCGTAACTGGGGGGTTAGCAGAAGTTGGAGATGAATCGCAGTGTTGGGACTCTGCGAGGTATTTCTGTCTCAGTCACTCACTCATGGAGAAAATAAGCTATATATATACACACACACACACACATACATACATACATATACACACACACACACACACACACACATATATTATATGTCCAGCACTCATTGCTCACTGTGTCAATCAATACTCTGCAACTGCTATTACCAAGTTCATTTTACAGATAGGAAATTAACACTTAGGAG